AGAGGGACCTTGTGGGCACTGCAGAATTTCAATCCTTGTCGGCGTAGTGTGTTACCAATTGTTTTCTTGGTGACTGTGGTCCCAGCTGCCTGTAGATCATTGACAAGATCCTCACGTGTAGTTCTGGGATGATTCCTCACTGTTCTCATGATCATTGACACTCCACGAGGGGAGATCTTGCATGGTGCACCAGACCTAAGGGAGACTGACCGTTGTTTTGTGTTTCTTCCATTTGCAAATGATTGCACCAACCGTTGTCACCTTCTCACCAAGCTGCTTGGCAATAGTTTGTAGCCCAGTCCAGCCTTCTGTAGGTTTACAATCTTGTCCCTGACATCCTTGGACAGCTCTTTGGTCTTTGCCATGGTGGAGAGTTTGGAATCTGATTGTTTGATTGCTCCTGTGGACAGGTGTCTCTTGTACAGGTAACAAAATGAGATTAGTAGCACTCCCTTTAAGAGACTGCTTCTAATCTCAGCTTGTTACCTGTATGAAAGACACCTGGTAGCCAGAAATCCTGCTGAATGATAGGGGATGAAATGCTTATTTCCCTCATGAACATGCAGATCAGTGCATAATTTGTTAGATATGCATATTTTGAATTTTTTGTTGCCGTTCTGTCTCTGTATTACAATACACCTACCATTCGATTTTCAGACTGATCACTTCTTTGTGAGTGGGCAAACATTCAAAATCAGCAGGGGATCAAATACTTATTTCCTTCACTGTGTGTGTGTATGTATATATATATATATATATGTATGTGTGTGTATATGTGTGTATATACCCGTGTCGCCAGCTGCGGCTGTCAGTCACCGGGTCCCGGCCAGTGATTACAGAGCATCTCCAACAGGGAGGAGGACTGCTTTGTTTACTAACAGCCCTCTCTGTCGGCTCGGGCACACTGCGCTGGATGGCTGTGCACAGCACTGCCATCCAGAGCAGTTTGCTTACAGTGGAGCACCAACACACCGCCCCCCAGTAAAACACTCCCAGCACACAGGTAACCCTTTGATTGCCCTTCATGTTAACCCCTTCCTGCCCAGTGCCATTAGTGCAGTGTCCGTGCTTTTTATTTTTTTTTTTAGCACTGATTACTGTTTTGGTGTCACTGGGGATGTCAGTGACACCATGTCAGACCCCCCCCCCCCCCCCCCCCCGGGTCAGAATGCCTGCCGCAGTCCCATTATAAGTCGTTGATCACTGCCATTACTGGTAAACAAAAAACATTCCGGTATCTAAGCTGCCATTTGTAAACGCTATAACTTTCTTGTAAACCAATTCAGTTCATTTTTAGCAAAGACATGTAGCAGAAACATTTTTTTACTGGACATGTTTAATAGCAAAAAGTCAAAAATATTGTTTTTTTTTTCTCGAAATTCTGTTTTGGTTTTTTTTATAGTGCAAAAAATTAAAAACCACACAGGCGATCAAATACCACCAAAAGAAAGCTCAATTCGTTGGAAAAAAGGACGTAAATTTAATTTGGGTGCAGTGTTACATGACCACGCTATTGTCAGTAAAAGTAACGCAGAGCTGTAACGCAAAAAATGGCCTGGTCAGGAAGGGGGTTAAATCCTCAGGAGGTCAAGTGGTTAATGTATCCCTCAATATGCTTGTATGAAAATTGTAAGTTTGTAGATAAAAGCAGTAGTAAACCTCCAGAAAAAATAGAAATAAGTGGGTCCCCTGCCAGTTTTTGACATAATGTGCTAGTATGCACTGCATACTAGTACTTTATGACAGACTTGCCTGCAAATGGAGCCCTTCATCGCAGTGCTGTCATGGCTTTCCTACGCTTCCATCTTCATTCGGTCTTCTTGTCGGGTTCGAGGGCTCTTGCTGTTTGAAAGGCCGGGGCCATGATGAAGTCACACCCACACGTGCTGCAACAGCGATCTGCATTGCGCAGCATACTGTATGCCCTGAATTCGGAGTGTCATTGCACATGCATGCGTGACATCTTCAGCTGTTGCAGATGTGAATATCACTTAAAAGGTGCACGTTTAGGAGATATTACTTGTACCTACAGGTAAGCTGAATTGTAAGTTTACCTGTAGGTACAAGTTTAAATACAGACTTTTCTACAGATTTAATGCCTAACACTAGTGTTGCACCGTTTTTTTTTTATCAGTGTGTGTATGAGTACCGATACTTGTGCTCAAGTACTTACCAATACCAATACCTTTGCAGTGCGATTTCAGCCCAATTAAAATGAATGGGCTCAAATGCACTGCAAAGAATTGCTTGCGATTTGAACAAGAATGCGGTGAGATTCCTGTCCGAATCACATGCAGTTTCCCTGTGGGGGCAAGCGCGCCGCACCCGCAGGGAAATCACATGTCATTTGGACAGAAATCGCACTGCATTACTTTTCAAATCACATTTTTTTTTTTTTTTTTTTTTTTTGCAGTGCAGTTTTTAGCCCATTCATTTTTTGTGTGTTCAAATAGCAGCGCAAAGGTATCTGTTTCAAGTATCGGAGCGTTTGCATGGGTGTGAGTACTCCTGCAAATGCTTCGTATCTGCACCAATACTGGTGTCGGTGCAACCCTACCACAAAAAGTACCTTTCTGACACCAACTTGTTTATATACAGTATATGTTCTTTCTGAATTCTTTACTATTTTGGATATTGTATTTCAATTTCTATTCACATTTAATAATGGAACTGTTGACAACTCCAGCATTGATACTGTGGTGCACCTGTAGTGTTCTGCATGCAGCTGTTTGGTTACCGGTTACATAAGGAGCAATAAAGACCTCTTCCTACAATGCCTGATCATTGCACTATCAATTGCCCAGGGTTTGCAGTGTAAAACTGAAGGATCTGCCTCTATTTTCTGCCTTGGCAGCTGTGTAGAAAAGACAAATGGCTTGACTGATAAGGTAAGTTTGATTTCTAATAATATCCAGATATTTTAAAGTAAAACTCTAGAGGTTTGCAGTACTTGGTTCAGTCCACTATGTTCCTATGTGATTCCACTTTAGTGAGACCTTCTGCCTTCAGAACTTTTCTTGTTACAATTACTTGACAACTGGACCTGAACATTTTCTTTCTTTCCATACATAGGCAAGATTCACATAAAATGAATACCGATTGACAATCTTTCCTTCCTACTTGTCAGCATTTAACATAGCCAAAGGCCTAATTTGAGTAATGTTTATTTGTAATTGCTTTTGGTGTGTTTTGGTTGTGAATCATTTTACTGCCTAGGGGTTTTTAGATGACTAACTTGGATAGTAGGTGCTTGGCTGGACTATCTACAGTGGATATAAAAAGTCTACACACCCCTTTTAAAATGTTAGGTTTCTGTGATGTAAAAAAATGAGACAAAGCTAAATAATTTCAGAACTTTTTCCACCTTGTAATGTAACCTATAAACTGTACAACTCAGTTGAAAAACAAACTGACATCTTTTAGGTGGAGGGAAGTAAAAATAAATGAAAATAATATGGTTGCGTAAGTGTGCACACCCTTAAACTAATACTTTGTTGAAGCACCTTTTGATTTTAATACAGTACTTAGTCTTTTTGGGTATGAGTCTATCAGCATGGAACATCTTGACTTGGCAATATTTGCCCACTCTTCCTTGCAAAAACACTCCAAATTTGTCAGATTGCAAAGGCATCTTCTGTGCACAGCCCCCTTCAGATCACCCCACAGATTTTTGATCAGATTCAGGTCTGGGCTCTGGCTGGGCCATTCCAAAACTTTAATCTTCTTCTGGTGAAGCCATTGCTTTGTTGATTTGAATGTGTGCTTTGGGTCGTTGTCATGTGGAAAGATGAAGTTCCTCTTCATGTTCAGCTTTCTAGCAGAAGCCTGAAGGTTTTGTGCCAATATTGACTGGTATTTAGAACTGTTCATAATTCCCTTTACCTTGACTAAGGCCCCAGTTCCAGCTGAAGAAAAACAGCCCCAAAGCATGATGCTGCCACCACCATGCTTCACTGTGGGTATAGTGTTCTTTTGGTGATGTGCAGTGTTGTTTTTGCGCCAAAGATATCTTTTGGAATTGTGGCCAAAAAGTTCAACCTTGGTTTTATCAGACCATAACACATTTTCCCACATGCTTTTGGGAGACTTTAGATGTGTTTTTGCAAAATTTAGCCGAAGTTTTTCGTTGTTGTAAGAAAAGGTTTGCGTCTTGCCACTCTACCCCATAGCCCAGACATATGAAGACTATGGGAAATTGTTGTCACATGTACCACACAGCCAGTACTTGCCAGATATTCCTGCAGCTCCTTTAATGTTGCTGTAGGCCTCTTGGCAGCTTCCCAGACTAGTTTTCTTCGTGTCTTTTCATCAGTTTTAGAGGGAGGTCCAGTTCTTGGTAATGTCACTGTTGCGCCATATTTTCTTCACTTGATAATGACTGTCTTCACTGTGTTCCATGGTATATCTAATGCCTTGGAAATTCTTTTATACCCTTCTCCTGACTAATACCTTTTAACAATGAGATCCCTCTGATGCTTTGGAAGCTCTCTGCGGACCATGGCTTTTGCTGTAGGATGCGACTAAGAAAATGTCAGGAAACACCTACTAGAACAGCTGAACATTTATTTGGGGTTAATCAGAGGCACTTTAAATGATGGCAGGTGTGTACTGACTCCTATTTAACATGATTTTGAAATTGATTGCCTAATTCTGAACACAGCTACATCCCCAGTTATAAGAGGGTGTGCACACTTATGCAACCACATTATTTTAGTTTTTTATGTTTACTCACCCCCCCCCCCCCAGAAAAAAAAAAAAAAAGATTGCAGTTTGTCTTGCAATTGAGTTGTACAGTTTATAGGTCACATTAAAGGTGGAAACATTTCTGAAATGATTTATTTTTGTCTAATTTTTTTACATCACAAACCTGACATTTTAACAGGGATGTGTAGACTTTTTATATCCAGTGTACTTCTCTCTTCTCATTTAGTTATAGAAAATACATTATTCATTGCTAAAAAGGTCTAACCATTGTGTATTAAAATTGTTTTTTCTTCAAGGTGTCAAACATGATGGGACAATGTGTGATACATGTAGACAGCAGCCGATCATTGGGATCCGTTGGAAGTGCGCCGAATGCACAAACTATGACCTATGCACTATGTGTTATCACGGTGACAAGCATCATCTGAGGCACCGATTTTATCGAATCACTACACCAGGAAGTGAACGGTAACTACAGTTTTTTGAGAGGGTTTTGCACTTAAAGGACCATCACTGGAAAAAACATAGCAAATAAATACTATTGCATATACAATTGCTATACAAGCCATATTCTAAATTAATTTTAATAAAAATTACCTTTCCTTTTTCTCTGCAGCCGTTGTAATTTTCTGTAAAATTCAATGCATTTTGGCAACCTGGAGGACTTCTGTAGGCAGTTGGTATACAGAACTTCTCTAGAAATGTTGTTTCTTGCTTTGTGATTGGCTTACTGATTTTCCCTGAACTCTGCAGTAAGATGCAAGTCAGATTTTAGGCATTCTCTGCAATAAAAAAAAAATCCATACTTGGGGATACTCTCAAAGGGTTAATTACTGTACTTTTATAAGGATGCATACATTTCAACTTTCCTAGATAGAATATTGCAAATGCATCAGCTTAATAATGAAAAAGTCACTCCCATTCACACTGCAAATGGTGTTCCTTCAGGGCTGGTTCACACCCCAAATAGTACAGGAACACATTCCTGTGTGTATCACATGCGATCCAGCGCTCTTCGATTTCAGCACATTCATTTGAATAGGTTGAGATCGCATCGGACCACAACTAAAGTAGTGCATTAACAATTTTATAAAATGCAGAGTAGCCAGATGGCATGGTACTTCTGTACTATGCGATCCAGTGCAGGCAGACACACTGCATTTGCGACCTGTGTGTTGTGCAGTGTGTTTTGAACGTGGTGCGGGAAATGTAGGCAGAACTTTGGTTTCCTGAGATGTGTTCTGGTGTGAACTGGCCCTTGGAGCACAAGCTGGTAGGAATCTGCTCCAAAGTTTAAAATACTTGCAAAGTACATAGATCACCAGGAGGGGATTTTTTTTTTTATTTTTTTCTTAACAAAAGTGGAGTTACTTTTTAAATGGTTTCCCCCCACACTCCTTTAGTGCAGGCAACCTTGTCAGATATCTATCACTTTTGTCATTCCTGCAATCTCCAGTGTGCACTCCTGACCACAACTGCAGAGCTCTTGTAACACAAACATCCTCTTTACCTCTCTGCATGCTTAGTTGTGGTATGATTCATTTCCATGGGTAGGCCATACTTCTAGTGGAGCCAGCTTCTGTCCTCTTATTGCATACTCCCAACAATCAATGCTCTGTGCTGTATTCCCTTATTTTGCTGCACCTACTGTTAGATTCTCTATAATATAAATTAAATTAAACATGCGACAAGGGCAACTGGAAAGCCTTCATAAAGGCCACATTAGGTGTGTAAATCCAGTTATTCAAATGCAGAGATTGCCCAAACAAAGTCCCTAAAGAAATGTAAGAAATTAGCGGACCGTTTTATTATGAGATATAAGTTTTGGGTAGACTGGTCTGCTGAATTTTAGGCAGGTGTGGTATGTGTTAACAGAGCTTTCTGTGCTAAGCAGAGGATTAAAGCGGAACTACACTTCATTTGAGCACCAAAAACACAATTTAATTGATTTTTTATTATTCAATGCAAACTCGCTGATCCATCCATGTCTCTATACTGAATTTTGCTGAGAAAGCACTTTGAAAAACACCCCCTAGCATTTCTGGTCCCCATTTTGAATAAAAGCAGATAATGCAAGTAGCAATTATGTTCTGGAATCCATCTGCCCTTAGCTCAGGCATGCTGGCAGGAGGGTGTGCTTAGAAAACACCCTCTTCTCCTGAAAACTCCTGGGATGTATGACCTCATTTTCCTAGGCATGGAAACCAGGAAGCAACTGAAGGAATGTAACAAAAAAAAGTTTAAAAGAAGTAAATATATTATATTTCTGATCTGTTTACTAATGCTGCCAGCAGGATTAAAATCGTATTGGTTGAGAGAGTGAAGTTCTGCTTTACATGGTACTGTTTTCTTAAGATTAGCTTCAACCTTTATCCAGGTTCTCTTTTCCTTTTGCAGACTGTTTCTAAAGCATAGGCTATTTGGGCATTATACAGAAACATTTAGAGCAGTGTTTCTCAAGAAATGGGTCGTGACCAGGGGTGGACTGGGCTAATGCCCCCCAGGCCTCTCTAATGCCCCTACCATCACCCTAGACTTTGAGACACTTATCAAGAGCACGAGGCATCCCCAGTTTTCCCCATTCGTTCTAATTAATTTGGTATGTTTCAATTGCCATTTATTTTATTGGGTGTTTACCTCAGCAGCTCTTTCATTTTCACTAACGCTATGATTACTGCACTATCCATTTTGGAAAGAAGCTGTTTGTTTACTGCATATACATTGTAGCATACTGCACAAGTTGTTTTGCTGAAAAAAATTATAATGTTTCTGAAATTAAATTATTCTTGGCTCGTGTTTTAATGACCAAGGACAAATGTGGGTCCTGAGGTTCCACAGTTTGAGAACCACTGATTTAGAGCATATTTACTTCATATCCAATTTATTTTTAAATTTTGGTTTTGTACCCTCTCTCCTCACTGTTCCTGTTGCTCTCTCCTTGTTGCATCTCTTTAACTGGTAGGGATGCTCTAACTGCTGTGAGTAAGATGTTATTCTTTCAGACCTTTATCTTAATGAAGCAATCTCTTCTATCTAATGTATTACTGTAAAACCAGCTTGCATACACAACATACCTTCTCCAAAGTGATGGTAAACCTACTGTCAGAGGTGACTATTGCAGATAATGGAATTTCTATGTTTATCACATAAAATATTTATTTTGCATTCATTAAATCATGCAAACTGCAAAGCTGAACCTTAGGAAGAGCGTCAGGACTGCGTGTTTCAGGGAGAAATGTTATATTGTATTGTTAGGGTCATATATGCAAGTGACCTATCTCTTCTCCAATATTTAAAATTTTAGGACCTGAAACAAAGATAGAGGATCTCATTAACGTGGTCACTGTGCAGTGCTATACCTCTTTTTTATCGCCCGATGCTTGGGACATGTAGTTCCGGGCGCCTGGCAGGTAGTTTTTATTTACGTTTAGCCCTGCTGTGGGCGTCACCTGTCAGGTGGAAGCATTCGGGCGCCCGATTGCGTCCACACAGCACCAGCCTCCTCAACCCACTATGCCCCCCCTCCGCCTGTTTTATGTCCCAGGGTACGCTTGCCCATTTGTGGGCCCAGGACTGGTTCCATCAGTGCCGGTATAGGGAATGAGGAGAGCGGATAGAAAAAACAGCTCTGGCAGCAAAAGTAATAAAGGATAAGCCGGACACTCCCCTTCCCTGACAAGCAGCCAATCGGTGCTCATGACACTGCAAGGTCTCCCCCCTCCCTGGTAGTCCCTAGGTGCAGGGCTGGAGACAGGCAGGGAGGGGAGAAGGAGATAAGCAGCTCAATGTTAAAAATATTAAACATTTAAGTTGCTGTAAAGCCCCTTTTTGTTTTTAAAAGCCCCAGACATTACTAACAGAACCTCAGATTTAAATACTGTTTTGGTTAAAATGTATTTTTTTTATCAGGACAAGTAGATTGACTGTGTATCCTTTTCTGCTCTATCTGGAATGAAACACAATGTTTTGTCTAGTGTTGGTCTTTAATCATCAATTGGACATTCTTCCTTTTAACCCTCAGTGTGCTTTTGGAATCCCGGCGCAAGTCAAAGAAGATAACAGCACGGGGAATTTTTGCTGGTGCTAGAGTTGTGCGTGGAGTGGACTGGCAGTGGGAAGACCAAGATGGTGGCAATGGGAGGAGAGGCAAGGTAATAATATTGATACTGAAATATAGAGCATCCCTGAACAACAGGCTTTAGTAAAACTTATGGTTATTGTAATCGATTAAGCTCCAAAGCCATTTCTGCACCTCAGCAGTGGGTCTACTGATTTGGCATTACTTTGCTATTGCTTTGTTATTATTTGGGGACAAACTATATTTAGTTTGGAGGTATTGACTTATTAAAGAACGTGTAAACTTAACATTTCATATTCTTGATATGTGCCTGCTGTACCATGTACTTGTATGAAAACGTATCCTGTTCACTTTGCTTTGTGTGAAATCCTGGGTGTTCCTGCCAGTCCCTCTGCTTTCCTATATGATACTGACCACACTAGGCTTGATAGCACATTGTGGTCTGTCTTCTGGCTGTTCTGGGAGCTAATCCAATGCTTAGGCTTATGCTGACTCCCTCCCGCCAGCATATCCTTTCACTGGAAAGATCAGTGGACTGATGTTTCTCATGCCTGTGCTCTTTATGCATCTGAGAACAGGGGAAATGTGATCACTTATTTAAAAAAAAAAAAAACCGGTATTTATAAATTTTATTATTTTTTTTTTATCAATACAGAAATGTTTTGCCTTTCATTTCTATTTAAACTGAATGGGTTGTTTTATAAGATGGAGTTAACATATACTTTTAAAAAAATAATACAGATTACAGTTTAATAAGGAACTTTTTCAAACTGTTTTTTTATTATGGATCTAGATTACTTTTTTCTTTGATTTTGTCAAGTTTATTATGACACCAGAATTGTTTTGGGTTTTTTTTTGGGTACAGTGCATGGCAGAATTAGTCACAAATTATATCTAATTTTTTCTTTTTATGTGCTTATGCAATAAAAACTTCACCAGATGAATTAAAACAATTTTTTTTTTTTCATGAACTCGAAAAAAAGAATAGGTCAAAAATATCTTATTAAGGAGTCAGGGAGAGGATGGCTACACTGAGCATAAAACTTTATTTGGCCAAACTGCCGCTGATAGCAGCTCTGCTCAGCAGATCAAGACCCTCAATTGTAGGAATGGCAGCAAGTCATGAAAGCTGTAAGTATAAGTGGTATGTCAAAACTGGATGTGATAATGCGAGTTAACTCTGTAGCTGTGCTAAACTGTGAGTCCTCTTTAAAGTGGAATTCATGTCTAGAACTAACTAAGCTTAAAACTGCTCCCACCCTCTTTCTAACACCTATACAAACTACCCAGTAAAGGAAGATGCATATATTTACCTATTCTCAGAGTGTTCGTTCTGGTCAAGTGATGTCCACAACTGCTGCCTTCAGGGGAAAGGAGAGCTCACTGACAACAGATGGAATACCTGAGCGGTGACGTCATTCATAATTATCTACCAGCTGCTACACCAGCAGGGCTCTAATAAGGAAAATTGCAGGGTCTGCATCCCTTTAGACTTGATTTCCTATTGGTAGTATCTCAACAAAAATCAGATTTTTGTTGCAGAGAATGCCTGAAATCTGACTTGTATCTTAGTGCAGACTTCTGAGAAAATCAGTGAGCAAATCACACAAGCATGAAATCATGTTTCTAGGTGTGTTTTGTACACCATCTGTGTACAGAACACCTGCAAATAGCCATATTGCATTGCATTTTACAGAAAATTACAGAGCTGCATATTGAAAAGGGCAGGGTAATTTTTAATAACATTCAATTACAATATTTTGCAATTGTATATGCTGTAGTATTTTATTTTATTTATTCTATATTTCTCCGCGCCCCCCCCCCCCCCCCCCCACACCACACAAAAGTGGAGTTACCGTTTAAGCTTCCCCAATGATCATATTACTTTGGGGTTATAAGCAATAACAAAATTACTGCAGACAATGCTTTTTAGGCAATATTGTTTATAAATAAAAAAAATATGCAAAATTCTATTATTTCTGCCATCTGAAGGCTAAAATATACAGCCTAACTGTGGACAGAGCTGAGTGCTTCCAGATTTATTCTAAGAGGAAATGAGTGGCTGGGATTTATTGAATTCCTACTATCTTTCAACCTGAATCACCCTCCAGCAGACTTGGGCTCATGGAAGAGCCAGGTGAACCTGAGGACAAATAGGGAAGACGACCACTTGAGGGTCCATAGACGGGATGTGGTGGTTTTACAGTCATCCACTCAAATTCTGCTTAAAGCAGACTTTCATATATATATGACTTGGCGTTCGTTCTACTCATTTTGCAGGGTTTTCTTTTGGGGGGGGGGGGGGTGAGCAAGTACTCCCCTTTTTTTTTTTTTTTTTTTTTGGTGACATATGCACAGGTGAATAAATTTGACCAGTCCTCATCACATCGCACATCCCTGGGGGCTGCAGAGCACACTCCCCGCAGTCTGCAAAGCCTGCACAGATGCTTCAGCAGCCATATTTAATTTGGGAGCCGACTTGTCACTCTTATCACTCAGCTGCATCTGAGATCGAAGATTGCAGTCTGCCAGCCCATGCATGAGCAGTGGTTTCAGCAGCCATCTTTGATTTGTCACTTCCTGATCACTTAACCAGCTCCCAAATACAAGGAAGGCTGAGGAAACGTCCGGTTGTAGGAAGACAGCTTTGGACTCTTTAGGCTGTTAAATTTGGGTTTTTTTTTTTTTTTTTTTCTAAAGTCAGCAGTTGCAGTACTTGTAGCTGCTGACTCCTAATTTTCCTAGATCTGGGTGAAGTCCATCCTTAAGAGGAAAGCCATCTGCTAAATTTGAAAATAAGCTCGTGGCTGGTATTGATTTGGATGGTTAATGAGGTTTGCTAAAACAGTGTTTTTAAAATCCAGCCTAAGGGAGGGTAAGGGTGCAAAATAGCTTAATTTTGTTTATGGTTTTGGTTCTGCTTTGATAAAGCCTAACTTGAACTCATCTCAAACCCCCCCACCCCTTTTTTTTTTCTTTCTGGCCCTCAAGGATTAAATGCTTGTTATGTCTTTAGAGGTGCCCAGAAAAAGGGTAAATACCTCACTCCTGGCTCCAGCAAGGTCCCTCACTGTCTGTCCTGTAAGCTGCAACCGGCTCTGGTCCCATTTTAACCTTCTCAACTTACAAAACGGTATTGTTCCTGTATTGTATATGATAATGTGAAGGCTCTGCTCACAGACAAGAGCTTAGGGCCCCAGGACTGAGTATAAGGTCAGTGATAGAGCCTGCACTTTGCACCCTTAGATATAACAAGCATTCAACTCTTGCAGTGAGTCCCCACTGCAAGAATGCATTTTTTCTTTATTTTTATACTCCCTGGAGTTGGACTTTAAGATGAATATTTTATTTATACATACGTAGGTTTTTGTGTATTTTTTAATTATTTGAATGTGCAGAGACTGGCTTGATGCTTGAAATAAAAGTGTTCAGAAAGTGTGCTCCTTATGCTGTGTTTTTATATGGCGTAGAATGCATGCCTATTTGTATGAATAGATGATTTAATGCTCAGTGCACTAGCCCAGACTCAACATTTTATTGGTTAGCCACATAATGTTAATTGAAATACAAATTTTCTATCTTTAACAACTGACTTCCCATCAGGATGGAAGAATCAGCATATTCCTTTTCAGTCAACCCTCTGGTTGAGCAAAAAAAAAAAAAAGTAAAATGTATGGGCCTACTTTAGTTCTATAGGTGGTTGCTGTTAACGCTCAAAAGCAGTATAATGTTGCATAACAAGAACCTCCAGGTTCCTCATGTTCTGCTTTCTGTACCTCGCCATTGATCCCAGAAGAGGTGGGAATAGAGCCCACAGCCATATTGTTTGCCTGTTATATATGAAACAGAGCACCTAGAGATCGATTTATGCTAAAAAAAAAAAAAAAAAAAAAAAGCAAGCATGACATTCAGGCTCTCAGAGGTGTGCCACTTTACTTAAAATTAATGTGTTTAAATTTGTAGCTTTATAACAAACGTTATCACCATCCTCGATGGAAGAGAAACATTCTATACAGTCAGTTCTGTCATTTAAGGAGAAATTGCAGCACCCTGGATGAATATGTGAGTGAGACTCTGAAGTAGAGATGTTTGGAAAAAGGCTATGATGGTGGATTTATAGAGCAAGCAGTGCTGGAATATCTACACTTTAGATATTTACACCATCCTCCTTGAAGAGAAATCCAAATTTATAGTCTTGTATGTACTATGTGGGTCCTTTCTTTCTTTTTAACCAAGTTTTATGACCAGCATTGGTTGTTACGGAGAACTATTAAGTGGCAGTGCTACTCAATGATCCCAAATTGAAGCCTGAGAAATTCCAGAGTGACTAAGGGTGGCATTTCCAAAAACTAGGAATGTGAGAAATGTAGTAGCCCCCAGTAAAGTCCAAGAAAAATGTCACAACGTCAGAGATACTATTCCCTCTTCCTTTTTTTTTTTTTTTTCTTTTTTTTTTTTTCAATCAGTTATGTTTCATCTGTAATCATAAAACAGTGGGGTGCACTGGTCTAATACATTATCCTTAGCACATGTCTATTAATGAAGCCTGTGAGAGCAGAAAGGAGGGGAGAGAAGAGCTGCAGACGAGCACAGCCCTGGGTTGATACAGGATTCAGGTAAATGTTTTTGGGGGAGGGGGAGGAGCTAGTGGAAGGTTTTTTTACCTTAACACTCCGGTCACATCGGGTGCGACTTGGCATGCAATTTGCAAATCGTATGTCAAATCACACCCTATTGTTCGCTATTAAAGTGGTCATAACGGTTCGGTTCCGACTTGGTCAGAGCTGCACCGATTTCTAAAGTAGTACATGCACTACTTTTGTTGCGATTTGCATAGACATCTATGTCAGATGTCTTGCAAATCACAACTGAAATCAGCAGGTCACCTGATTTTGAAATTGTGCGCCTTTATTGTAAGTCACACGATTTCAAAATTGGCTTTGATGTGACTGGGTGCTTAGGCATAGAATGCAAGATTTTCTCATCAAAACAAGCCTTTAATTCAAGCCTAAATTAATCAGTTGCATGTCTATTAAGAGGAGAGAGAATCTGCATACACATTAAAATAATGTA